TTAAGCAGTTTGAGGGAGACTTTGCTGGGGTCAGATGCAAGAATCGTTTTTACAAAAAAAAGATTGTTCAGAGAGATTAAGAGAATATGCTAACTCAGTGAAAGTGCGTAATTTGTGAAACTTCCAGATCAGCAGTGTTTGGTACAGACTATTAAAAGATTGAGAAAATTTGAGATCATAGCTGTGTGACCACTACAGGGCTAAAGCCCCACAGCTCACATTCAGGAACTGAGGAAAGTACATCCACAGATTGGACAGGGAAAAATGATGTCTCTGGTATTTTTGAGTAACTGTACATTTGGAATTTTGATATGCTGTGTGTTTTGAAATCTTCCAAACCGGGTTATATTTAGTTAGCTTGGTGTGTTTTCTTTTATTTCAATTTATTTTGTGAAATAAATTTCTGTTTTATTATTAAAAGTAAATCTGCAGCTTTGTGAGCTTATGCTTCAGTGAAACACAGTCAAATTAAATTAGGAAAGTGATATGTGATCTATCAAGCCAGATTTCATATTGGGATCTGGCAGGTCCAGTAGTAACTTCAACTGCAAACTTAACAAGAATATATTTTAAAAAATCAAAGGCCTGTACTGCTCCATAAATTCTCCAGGAACCAATTCAGTGGAAATTATCATCTGGTGTAATATTCATTTCCTTGTACTTTTATTGAATAAGATTTATGAATACGTTTTGAGATAGAGATTGTTTCTTCATTAGAATATTAATTCTGCTCTTCCAATGTACCAGTCAAAGCATTAGTCGTTCCGATTATTGATTAAGACAAACAGTGGCCAGTGGAAGTCAAGCCCTATATACACGAAGGGTAAAACATTCTCCATGATTGACCCCATCCAAATTTTCCAAAGTATCTTTATTGCAATCTAACAGAGGAAGGGTGTCCCCATTAAAAGCCTGATCATTGGAAAGGCTGCTAACTTCAACAAGTGCCAGTAGAGGGAGGCAGACTGTTACCTTGCAGTTAACCTACTTTGTAATATCGGGGGAAATACTGGGTATGGCATGAGTTACCATGGGTTAGAATGAAGTAATAAGTTGTAGTTAGCTTAATAAACAACAATTATTTAAAACATTTATTTAAGATTTGTTTCCTATTTATTCTTATTCAAGGAAAATAGATTAAAAAGAAGAGTTAAACACACAAACTGGCTCAGGATACTGATAGAGCAGACAAACAGAATTTCTTTAAGTTTTGCAATGTGACTGAACCAGAACTGACCCCGAGGTCTTATTTGGAGATGCAATATGAGAATGACTTTGTACCATTGAAATACATTTAAGACATAGCAGTGGGACTTTGTCAGGATGGGAAGGAAGCACAGGCTTTGGGAAGAAGATAGGGGAGTGGCTGCAAACAGAGATGTTAGGTGCCTCTGCTATTTCGGAATGTGTGAGGAACAAGGTGTTCGTCTGAACAATGTACTGTCTACGTGACTCGCAATGTATCAATACCTTGCTGAGGGCAGGGGTCTATCTCAGTCTTCTCTGGACAGTGCTCTCGCAATGTGTAAAACAATTGTCAACCTGGATCTGAGTCTCCTGAGATTATTTCTGTCTATGTTCAACAGTACGAAGACTATTTTTCTGAGAAATTACAATCCCACCAAATTGAGTGGGGAAAATATGAGTTTCATGGCAGGTAAAAACGAAAGAAATAAAGTTGATTTTCTACTTGAATAGAGCAAGAGTTACTGGAATAGGTGAAACCAAGGGGAAATAAATTCCTCATGTAGCTTTGTAGTTCAATGTTACAAGGGAATAGTGGTGGGTGCTCCCTCATCATATTCCTTCAAGCTAGAGCTGGATCCTGACTGGGCTGGGAGTCAAAGTCACTTTGCAGAAAAGGGCTATTGCCTTCAGTGTAAAATGGAGACAATGTAATCCTCAGCACCAGTTTCACTCACGCTCTCAGCCCAGCGTGTTGATCTTGAAATGGTTCCTCGAAGTGCAGTCCCACCATGGCTAAGCACTTAAGAAAGACTATAATGTTTGAACTTTCAGCTTTATTTCTTTATTTTGTACTTAAAACTAAGAACATCTGCAATGTGTAACTTCTAACCTCATTTTGTTATGTTTTACACAATACTATAATTACTGCAATGTTTAACTTCTAATTTTGTTCTTTCTTTCTATCTTATTCTTAAGATTCTGTACCTAGGTACTTGTACCTGAAATGGCACCTTGTGTGGCAACATTATAATTTTTCACTGTTCTCCTGTACTTTTGTATATGAGTACATGTGACAATAAAATCAAAATCAAATCAAACATTAAAAGGCTGGAGGGAGGAGGTCAGGATTGATTTTGCTCCTGCTAGGATCATCTATTCATTCGCCTTTTACAGAGCCCTAGATGCTCAAGGAAGGTGGGAACTGCACAAGGCAACACGACTGGCTAGAAAAACCACTAGCTCTTTATATCTGTGATTTTTAAATGTTTAAGTCTACAAGATGTAGTGAAACAGCGCAGATTTGTGCATGGGAAGCATTATTTTAAGGATTGAGTAGAAACAAGGGAGAATGCATCATGATACAGCAAGACGAAGCATGCAAAGCAATGATATAAAATGATATCAAATTTATAACAAATGAAAGAAGACATTCAGCCTAACCAGTCTGTGGTAGAATTTTCGTTCCACCCCACTTTGTCCTTCTAATCCTTGCCTCTTGTGTAGTCTTACCTGAGCTTCCCCTCAAACATGTCATGAAAATATTGGAAGAGGTCACTTGAGAAAACTGGAAATTGCAAACATGAACAGTAGCCTTTTTTTGAAAGGCACGTGACAGAGCATTAAAAATAAAAGACTAAGCGGAGATGTTTAGCAAAGGCCAATACCATCACATAGAAATTTGATTGGGGTGTGCCTTGCATTGAACAGGCCATGAGCATGAAGCAACATTAGAGGGGACTTAAGCAAAGAGAACAATAGGCAATTTGGAGAAGTATCAAGAGGGAGCAGGTAGATAATATTCAATATTTAAATGGCCTCAGGAACACCAGCAGCAAATAAGACAGCAAACAGAAGGTTAAAGTACCAGACAAAGTTAGTGGTGAGCACAGCTGGCAGAAGACTAGTCGGTACTTACAAGGGGAAGAGGATAATGATTGTGGAAAGGGACTATCATCATAAGTGTTGACAACTGCAGTGATTTAGCAGTTCAGCAATCCCAGAGGACAGCAGTATTCCGAGGGACGAGAACTCAGGAAATGGATGGTGCATTACCGGTTGTGTGCCTAGGATTTCCTGAGGTGTGAGCAATGCTTTTAGCCTGCATTGTTTACTCAGTAACAAGAAAATGGATCAAGACTGCAGTGCACAGCTATAGAGGAGCAACACCATCATTAAGACTCAATTGTGTCAAGATCAATAGAGCTGATACGAGGAATTGTGCCACGCACTCAATAAACATGTTATTTTTATATGCTTGGAGATTTTTCTTTGCATTTATCATGAAGATACATGTCAGTAGCATGGAACATCAACCCTTTTAATTCAACCCTAACCTTTACAGGAGTATGCCTGCTCACCCCCACCTTCTCATCAACTGGGCAACAGATGCTGGCCCATATCCCATGGATGAATATAAGAACAAAGCTGTCTTTTGTAAGAGGTCTGATGGATCCCTTCCGTGCCGTACCAGTTAACATTTCCCATGGTGGCTATGTTTACCAGTCATAGGCTGCAAGTTTCATGCCAATTTAAATTGGGACTACGAGCTGTTTCGTGCTGTGAGTTTTCGAAATGAGTCTAGTTTCCTCGTTAACAGGCAATCTTCGCATTGATCATTAGAGGGGAGAGTTTTCAGTGACTACCAGATGAGTGGGAGTGGAAAGTTATAAGGGTGGGGAGGGACGGTGTTTGTGGTTTGATGTTGTGCAACTTAAAAAGAAAATGGATACAGGATTAGGAACTGGACACCACAATCCTCCAATCCTGGCTACAATGTTTGGCCTAGGGTTGCCAATGCAAGACTGGACACATTCCTGGATGCTTCATTTAGCCTCCTGCCTCCAACTGCACCATTTCCACGTCTACATCTTAATGTGCCTGTGAAGATCATGATTTGTATTTAGTGCTGACTGTCCTCCCAGCCTGTGGGTGTCGCTGTGTTGGGAGGCTCATTCTGGTGGCGCCGTCGGTGAATTACCTTCCTGTCCTGTTGGTGTCGCTATGGTGGCAGGTCTCCACCCCCGTCTATTATCCTTCTGTCCTATTGGAGTCGCTGTTTAAGGAGGGCTCCTCCCTGTGGCTGTGCATTGTCCTCCCTGCCTATCGTTTCCTTTTGGTAGGGCTATTATTGTGAATTTTTGTGGGTATTGCTGCCTTTTTGTCAATGTCACTACCCTCCTGTGGGTCTTTCAGTATCTGTGGATCATCTTCCCTTCCGTTCTATTGGGAGGGCTTCTCCTGTTTGAATCTGTGTCCATGGGTATACTTTGCGCCTTTAGGTGTCGCTGCGTCAAGAAGGCCTGGCCTGCGCATTGTCCTGCCACCCTCTGAGTGTCGTTGTTTTAGGAGGACTCTTGTGCATTGTCCTCCTTGCCTGTGGATGACGCTTTGTTGGGAGGACGCCTCTGACTTGTTCTCTCTGGTTGCTGCTTTCACAGTTTTATCGGGTTTCTCCTGCGAATTGTCCTCCCAGCCCTCGGGTGTCGCTATGTTGGGAGGTCTCTTCCTGTGTGTTGTCCTCCCAGCGTGTGGGTGTCGCTGTGTTGGGAGGTCTCCGCCAGTGTATTGTCCTGCCAGTGCGTGGGTGTCGCTGTGTTGGGAGGTCTCCGCCTGTGCATTGTCCTCCC